CTAGGAGAATTGTGAGTTATAGAATTTGCCTCCTTATTTTTGTCCCTGTGCATGTCCATGAAAGATCAGCTACATATTCTCTGAAAAAGAGATAAACAGTTCTGCAGTGTAAGTAACTGACCAATTTTACCCAGATTTCAACATTGTCATCAGCAGAACATCTTGGTTTTTTTGCAACCATTTAGTTACAGAGGAGAAATAGAGGTGTACCCTGGGAAACCACTTGAGTGAAGGCTTGGTGACATGCTCCCCCTCCCCCCAATTTTAGCTTGGTATCGGCAAGCAAGAGCAAAAGCACCCCCAAAAAAATTTGGCTGCATTTTACGTGGATCAACAACATGTTGCAATGAGCAGCAAGATTCCTTGTGGGGCAATTAAAACAACAGCCATGTTAGTATTGAGAAAAGTGGCTACAGTTGGCACTCTAGTTTGATTGCTGGGCAAGTGGTAGACCTTTTGGAGAACTCCTGCCAATGATGCCAGTCCCTAACACTGAGTTTGGTGAGCCTGCAGAGAGTTACCTGCATCAGACAAAAAATTTACCCGACTAGTCTTTCCACGCGTATGTATAACGGTGATGCCCACTAAACAATTTCCTTCTTGCTGTGAAAAATGGAATTACACTATTTAATTTAAGATGGCCATAGAGAAGCATTTGAGTTGTGGTGGCGCAGTGGTTAGAATGCATTAATGCAGGTAGCAGGTCGATTCTCATCGGCTCCAGGTTGACTCAGCCTTCCATCCTTCTGAGGTCGGTAAAATGAGGACCCAGATTGTTAGGGGGGGCAATATGCTGACTCTGTAAACCGCTTAGAGAGGGCTGCATAAGCACTATGAAACGGTATATATGTCTAAGTGCTACTGCTTGTTGATCTTCTTGGGGCCACCTTGTCTTTTTTTCCCCCACAGGCCAAGAAACCTATAGAAACAATGCTGATGTTGCCGTGGATTACAGTATCTCTGATCCTATAGTCCGCTGGGATTCCTACGAGAACTTTAACCTGCACCATGAGGACAGCCTGGAAGGTATAAAAGGCCTGATCCCAGGGAATTTAGTATTTAGAACTCCAAGTATTTAGAACTCCAAGGCCAGATCACGTTGGCAAGGCTGCTGTTCTGCATCTGTGAAAGGGAGAAAAAAGGGGCAGAATTTAGCATCTTACTCTGCTACAGACTTCAGACTGTACAATTATTATGAAAGTAGTTTGTGAATGATTGCTTGGAGAGGGTGAATAGAGTGGGGCTTAATAGAGTCCTAGGGCTTGGTTTTATTCCGTTCTATAGTAGAAGCAGCAATTTATATTAAGGCATTGGATAGGCGTGTATTTGCATCATGCAGTGATGCAAACTACGACCTATAGACTATCAATGGTCTGTAGTGGCTCACTGCAGCCTCCCTACATTTTCTGCCGGAGCTTGCTTGTCATCTTAGCCCCCTCTGGTATTTCCTGCCAGTCAGCTGGTTCACAAAAATGGATCAATGTCTGAAAGCCAAAAAAAGAGTTCTGTTGAAAAGCATCCCTGACCAGCAGGTTTGGACTATGAGTTGTTAACAGAGGGCCATGTAAGATAACTCAAGTAGTACATCAATAATTGGGAACTAATTTTAGGGGAGGGTACCAATTTTAATTTTAAAAAGTCTTTAAAACTGAAGAATATACAAATGCAACTCATATACAAATGCTTTTTCCCCAAAAGGCAACTAGACCAGCGGTTCTCAACCTATGGGTCGTGACCCCATTTTGAGTCGATCGACCATTTCACGGGGGTCGCCAAGCAAGGCTGTCCGCCATTTTTTTTTGTCTGCCATTTTTTCCCCTTTTCCGGCGGGTGCCTTACCTCCCTTGGGCTGGGCCAGCTGGTGGTCGGCCTGCTCTGTCTCTGCCGCTTGCCAGCTACGCCTCGGCCGGCGCAGGGGGCGGAACCACGCATGCGCGGCGCTCCCGGGCATGGAAAGTCCTCGACTTACGACTGGTTGGGTAGTCCTCGACTTACGACCGGTTTAGTCCTCGACTTACAACCGGTTTAGTCCTCGATTTACGACCGGTTGGGGGTCGCGGCATTAAAAAGGTTGAGAACCACTGAACTAGACTTTTTGGGGGTTTTGTCTTTGAAAATGTTTCACTTCTCCTCAAAGAAGCTTCTTCAGTTCTAATCATTATATGAAGTGACAATAGGAAACTCCTGGACAAAAAGATAAGGGGTGTATTTAAATGACAGATCCCTGCCATTTCTGAATGCTTAATTGTCTGTAAAAAAAATTGGGAAGCATTGGCATAGCATGTACAAATTGCAGAGCTGAACAAACCATTGGTACAGAATTTTGGTTACCGTGGCCCATACATGTATGTTTGTTTATAGTGGTATTAAAGTATGGTCCTAGGACCTTGGGAGGAGTTGTTCCCCCAAGACCCTCTCACATGTCTACACAGTCAAAATTATTTGTCAGCTTACGTTAAAAAAAATAATACCATATAAAAATCCCATCAAACAATCTTGAGAAGCAGAGTTCCAATTTTAATTTTTAATACGCTAAATGTTGATAAATATAATCCGTGCCAACAAAAGCTTTTTGGGGGGAGGGGTCCTCCATAATTTTTAAAAGTTGGAAGGGGTCTTGAGAGAAAAAAGTTTAAAAAAACACCAATTTAGAGAAGGCTGCACACGCATTCTGCTCCACCTTGAAGCATGGGTAAAGCTGGTGCTTTGTTTTTGCATTGGTGAAATGGCTTTAGGCCAGTAAGTTTTTGCTGTGCCGTAGCAAATTTGTGCTGTGCCACAGCCCGATCATCACAACAGAACTAAGCTGATCTCATTTCCTTCTCTCCTGATTCATAAGAAGTTTGTGACCAGCTCATTTTGGACAGAGAGAGACGAATTCATCTCTTCCTATGTACACGCATATAAAAATCGGTGGCTTTTTTTTTCCTTTTTTTCTTTCTGGCTCCTGGGAGCTGTAATTCCACCAGCTGGCTTTTTCTCAGCCTATCCCCGATTACAAGTTTCCTCCCAATGTCCAGTTAAAGTAAACTTGTTAAGGACTAAAACAAATAAAATACCAACCGGAGTCATCAAATGGCAATTTAATCGTTGTGGTGTGCTTGCGTCAGATCCCAGAAAAAATTCCAACCGGATGGCCTCAAAGTTCCTCCTCCTTCCCAGCAAGAACTGATGTCGGGAGAAAAGGAGCCGTGTTTCAGAATGTGATTATTGTAGCTAGAGAATGCCATGCATTTGTGGGGGGGGGAGGGGGGGGAATGGAGCCTAACAGTGACTTAGATTAATGAGAGGAGGGAAATAAGGGCTTCGTAAGCCTGCTTCTTTTTTTTTATGTAGCAAAGTAAATGCATCTCTGGATAAAAGCAGTAGTGGACTATTGCCCTCTGCTGGGCTAAAATATTTAAATTTTAAGCCGTATTACAGGTAATCCTCGACTTACGACCACAACGGAGCCCAAAATTTCTGTTGCTAAGTGAGACATTTGCTAAGGGAATTTTGCCCCATTTTACGACCTTTCTTGCCACAGTTGTTAAGGGAACCACTTCAGTTGTTAAATTAGTGTCACGGGGTTGTTAAGCGAATCTGGCTTCAGGATCGCCTTTGCTTGTCGGAAGATCGCAAAAAGGGGATCGCATGATCCCAGGGACACGGCAAACATCATAAATGTGAGTCAGTGGCCATATTTCCTGAATTTTGATCATGTGACCCCGAGGAAGCCGCAACGGTCGTCAGTGTGAAAAAACGATCACAGGTCGCTTTTTTCAATGCCGTTGTAACTTTGAGTGGTAACTAAATGAACTGTTGTAAGTTGAGGACTACCTGTATTGAGTTCGAGGTGAAATCTATTGGAAAATCCTTAGACGACTTACTTACTGAAATAGATTGGTTTGACTGCTGATTTAAAAACAAAAATGGTCAGTACCTAACACTAATACCTTGCATTTCTCACTTTGTAGTAGTAACTTTATGACCATTTCTTGCATTTATGACCTTCGCAGGTCTGTAAACCAAAGAAAAGCTGAAGTAAGATCCTAGAAGGCACCATTGCCAATTTCATTTAGCGACTGTTTCACCTAATGACTGAGTTGCTAGTCATTCCAGTACAAGTAGTCCTTATCTTACAAGCATTTGTTTAATGACCACTAAAAAAAATGATTTATGGCCAGTCCTTGCACTTAATGAATGTTGCAGTGTCTCCCATGGGTCATATCAAAATTTGGGAGTCTGGTTATCAGCATGCATTTCCAATAGTTGCACCATCCCGGTGTCCTGTGATCTGCGTTTGCAACCTTCCTAACTGGCTTCTGGAAAGAGCAGAATGTTTCAGACAAGCAAAACCAATGGAGGAAGTCAGATTTTTCTTAACACCTGTGTGATTCACAGCAATTACAGTGATTCGCTTAACAATTGTTGCAAAAAAAAAAGTCCTAAAATCAGTGCGACTCACTTAAACAACCACCTTGTCTAGCAGCGGAAATCCTGTTCCCAGTTGTGGTGGCGCAGTGGTTAGAGTGCAGTTTTGCAGGCTGACTCTGCCCACTGCCAGCAGTTCGGTCCTGAAAGGGCTTGAGATTGACTCAACTTTCCATCCTTCCGAGGTCGGTAAAAGGAGGACCCAGATTGTTGGGGTCAATAGGCTGACTTTTTAAACCACTTAGAGAGGGGCTGTAAAGCACTATGAAGCGGTACTGTATATAAGTCTAAGTGCTTTGCTATAAGCTGAAGACTAACTGCATATGAATTTATTTACATTATACATTTATTTCTTGTCTTATAATCCACCACCACCCCCAGTAAACAACAAAAGTAAACCAGATTAGATATTGTTCCAACTAGTCAAAACATTTATCATTTTCACACTTCACCATAATTCCGGCATAATTGTTTGCAAGTAGTGGACTGCATGGATCTCTCTTGTCATTCTTCTCGGTTCCTTCTGCTAGCAGAAATGGAAAACCTATCCCAAAAATTGCTCTCGTGGTTTATTTACTGTGCATCCTCTCTTGCTGGTTTCAAAGGAGCTGGGATCAGAAGCCAAGAACAAACATGGCTTCTGATTCTGACCTATTTGGAAAAAAGTCAGAGCTGTCAAAATGGAAGTTTAGAACAGGGGTCCCCAACCCCCAGCCCATGGACCGGCACCAGGCTGCGGCATGCCAGAAACCGGGCCGCACAAATAAGCAAAGCCCCATCTCCGGGATGTAGGTAGTACATGAAACCACGCTCCCTCCGGTCCGCAGAAAAACTTCTCTCCACGGAACCGGTCCCTGGTGCCCAAAAGGTTGGGGAACTCTGGTTTTAGAGGATAGCTTTTACTGTAAATATTCCAAACGTAAACATCTAAACCTTTGAACTTATGAGCTGCTCCATGTGGAAGTTCCAGACCACATGTAGGCAGTAAATGTTGAGCTCTCCTACAACTCTCTGACCTGGTTCCTCGCTTTTCCTTTGCAGATGTCTTACACACTCGGGGGCCTCTGGACGGAAGCCTGTATGCCCGGGTCAAGAAGAAAAATGAGCTGAGTCACTTGTCCTCTAGTAATGGCAGTCCAGGAAGCCTAGAGTCTCCTCCACAGCAGGGTGGGCGTCTCCTGTCCATCAGCAGTGATTCGGGACACTCCTCTATGTTAACGGAGAAGGCGGAAGACAACACGCCTCCCTCCAGGCCTCAGCCCACACCAGCTGAGAAGGAAGAGTTGGATCGGCTCTTGGGAGGATTTGGCGTCCAGCCTCAGCAGCCAAGTGAAGGGTCTTGTTCTCATTCGGTTTCCCCTTCTGCAACTAAAGAGAGAGAAACAGCCATCTTAGAGGATGAACTTTCCGACATAGGCCAACCAGGCAGCTCTTTCTCCTATCAGTCTCAGCGTTCTGGCCTGGCCCGCCATTGTTCTTGTCGTCTGGATTACTGTTCCCACAGCCCTGAGAGACCTCGCAATTTGTCCTATTATAGGCCGGAAAGTGTTTTGGAGCGGCGGCAGCCCATCCATAACGGGGGGCACTCTCATCTGCATGCCGAGGGGTATGAGGAGAAACGACGTGTGTTTCGTTCTCTTTCAGAGGGCCTACAGCCCCATGCCTACCCCTATGGCCATGAGCTGCTGCCTCCTCACAGTCCTAGCCGGCGGGAGCACAATGAGCTGCTTATCTTGGAGGACCAGCCTACCTTTTTATGCCCATGCCAAGATTGTCAAGAAACAGCACGAGAAGAATCAAGGCTGCCCATGGCTTCCTTCTACAACTTACACCTGGATCAGGAACCGGACTTCTGGGGGTTGGACAGGCCACCCTTGCTTCATCATCCCTTGCACCGGGGTGGGCAGCCAATGCCCATTCTAATGCCAACCAGCTATGGGCACCATTCCATGTCCCATGGGCAGCATCATCAGGCTTTTAACTTTGAGCNCTAGGAGAATTGTGAGTTATAGAATTTGCCTCCTTATTTTTGTCCCTGTGCATGTCCATGAAAGATCAGCTACATATTCTCTGAAAAAGAGATAAACAGTTCTGCAGTGTAAGTAACTGACCAATTTTACCCAGATTTCAACATTGTCATCAGCAGAACATCTTGGTTTTTTTGCAACCATTTAGTTACAGAGGAGAAACAGAGGTGTACCCTGGGAAACCACTTGAGTGAAGGCTTGGTGACATGCTCCCCCTCCCCCCAATTTTAGCTTGGTATCGGCAAGCAAGAGCAAAAGCACCCCCCAAAAAATTTGGCTGCATTTTACGTGGATCAACAACATGTTGCAATGAGCAGCAAGATTCCTTGTGGGGCAATTAAAACGACAGCCATGTTAGTATTGAGAAAAGTGGCTACAGTTGGCACTCTAGTTTGATTGCTGGGCAAGTGGTAGACCTTTTGGAGAACTCATGCCGATGATGCCAGTCCCTAACACTGCGTTTGGTGAGCCTGCAGAGAGTTACCTGCATCAGACAAAAAATTTACCCGACTAGTCTTTCCACACATATGTATAACGGTGATGCACACTAAACAATTTCCTTCTTGCTGTGAAAAATGGAATTACACTATTTAATTTAAGATGGCCATAGAGAAGCATTTGAGTTGTGGTGGCGCAGTGGTTAGAATGCATTAATGCAGGTGGCAGGTCGATTCTCATCGGCTCCAGGTTGACTCAGCCTTCCATCCTTCTGAGGTCGGTAAAATGAGGACCCAGATTGTTAGGGGGGGGGCAATATGCTGACTCTGTAAACCGCTTAGAGAGGGCTGCATAAGCACTATGAAAAGGTATATATGTCTAAGTGCTACTGCTTGTTGATCTTCTTGGGGCCACCTTGTCTTTTTTTCCCCCACAGGCCAAGAAACCTATAGAAACAATGCTGATGTTGCCGTGGATTACAGTATCTCTGATCCTATAGTCCGCTGGGATTCCTACGAGAACTTTAACCTGCACCATGAGGACAGCCTGGAAGGTATAAAAGGCCTGATCCCAGGGAATTTAGTATTTAGAACTCCAAGTACTTAGAACTCCAGGGCCAGATCACGTTGGCAAGGCTGCTGTTCTGCATCTGGGCAAGGGAGAAAAAAGGGGCAGAATTTAGCATCTTACTCTGCTACAGACTTCAGACTGTACAATTATTATGAAAGTAGTTTGTGAATGATTGCTTGGAGAGGGTGAATAGAGTGGGGCTTAATAGAGTCCCAGGGCTTGGTTTTATTCCCTTCTATAGTAGAAGCAGCAATTTATATTAAGGCATTGGATAGGCGTGTATTTGCATCATGCAGTGATGCAAACTACGACCTATAGACTACCAATGGTCTGTAGTGGCTCACTGCAGCCTCCCTACATTTTCTGCCAGAGCTTGCTTGTCATCTTAGCCCCCTCTGGTATTTCCTGCCAGTCAACTGGTTCACAAAAATGGATCAATGTCTGAAAGCCAAAAAAAGAGTTCTGTTGAAAAGCATCCCTGACCAGCAGGTTTGGACTATGAGTTGTTAACAGAGGGCCACGTAAGATAACTCAAGTAGTACATCAATAATTGGGAACTAATTTTAGGGGAGGGTACCAATTTTAATTTTTAAAAGTCTTTAAAACTGAAGAATATACAAATGCAACTCATATACAAATGCTTTTTCCCCAAAAGGCAACTAGACCAGCGGTTCTCAACCTATAGGTCGGGACCCCATTTGGGGTCGATCAACTATTTCACGGGGGTCGCCAAGCAAGGCTGTCCACCATTTTTTTTGTCCGCCATTTTTTTCCCCTTTTCCGGCGGGTGCCTTACCTCCCTTGGGCTGGGCCAGCTGGTGGTCGGCCTGCTCCGTCTCTGCCGCTTGCCAGCTACGCCTCGGCCGGCGCAGGGGGCGGAACCACGCATGCGTGGCGCTCCCGGGCAGGGAAAGTCCTCGACTTACGACCGGTTGGGTAGTCCTC